CACTTCTACAATCACCACTACAATGAAATAAATAATCTATCCATTAACATTCATTCTGCAGTCACACACATGGACATTTCACAACGCTCATGTCAAACGTACGAAGAGCAATAAAGCATTTTGGTTGAAACATGACGAGCGTTTGAACACGTCATTCGCTTCATTAAAGTATCAGTCAGACTCCGATTAAATCCAAGGACTCAATTCGCGTAAAATCTATAAGAATGACATTGGAGTTATCATAATAAAATCTATACAAGTATCAACAACACAGGACAAGCGTAAACCTAGGACTTAACGCTAACTTAACACCTACAGAGTAACCAGCCGCAGCGCCACAGCCAACAGCTAGACTTGCGAGGGCGCCTCCTCCAGCCCGGGGCACTCCAGGGCCATGGAAGGGCCCTGGAGTGGGGCAGGCTCGGCCCGCTGGAAGGCCCGCTGTCACGCCCAGGGATCCTGGACCCGCCGTGTGGCGCGTCTGTCACCCCCGGACCAGCGGGGGAGCGCAGGGGAAGTCCCAGACTCCACAGATCCAAACTTCGGAATGTAATTAAGAAATCGAGAGTAAATTACTTTTGTACTGTTTTCATTGCGGTGGAGACTGGATCTTCCCCGCGCTTTTGCCCCCTCCCGAGCGTCAGCTGGCCCCCCCATAGAGAACGCCTCTTTTTGTCGGGTTTGGCTTTCAGTAGCCGATTCAAATAAATAATAAATAAATACACCTTGTGCAATGGGGGAATGTTACAATGTACGGAGATGAATTGAGATTCAAAGAAAGGCGAAAAGCACAGTCTGTTACAAAAATTAAAAAAGTCTAAAATATCGAAATTCTACGTCATGTAGATATTCATCCGGACAACACCTATCCGGTCGCAAAAAAATGCCGCTGTTTAAAAATTTGGTTTTCTCTTCATTTTCCTTGCTTTTATTCTAAGCCCACGGGGCTTTCCTTTCTCAGGCCAAATGGCGCAGAGAGAAGACAGGGCATATGCACTTCATTTCCAAGGCCGTTTTACGAACGGCCGTCGCTCTTCTGAAACCGAATAATCTCTCCTCCCTTTGGCTGTCAGTGACATGTCCCCCTCTCTCCACGCCGTGTCACAGTCGTCTTCAAGTGGACCTCGCCACTCGGAGGCGGCGGTGACGCCGTCCCCCGCACTCACTTCTTGATTAGCACAGCCCGGCGGCACACACTTTCCTCCGCCGCCTCGTCTTGCTCCAAAAAAACACATCAATAAATAATAAATTAATTGATTACAAAGTCCTCGCGAAGGGCCTAGACTTCGTTGCACTGCAGGTACAGCTGTTGGCAGTCGGCCTGGCTTCTGCCCCGGCGCCCGGCCTCGTAGTACATGTCGAATGGCGTGGCCGTGGACCTCTGCAGGAAGAAGCTGGCGGCGTACCTGCGGGCGGAGAGACGATTTGTAGGGGTCACATTCACACCACTCGCCACCTGCCGTACACCGTCAACACTCGCGGGTGTGGCCGCCGTTACCGGCCGTGTTACTTACGATCCCAGCTGGCAGTAGATGGCGCTCGAGCCCTGCTGGTCGGCGGCGCACTCCCTGTTGGCCTCGCACAGGAACTTCTGCATGCAGTTGTCGTCGCTAGTCTTGTAGGTCCTCACGTAGCCCTGCGGGAAACGGGGGGAGAATCGTTAGAGCCACGTGATGAGAACGGACGACGCTATGAGCCGGGAGGGTCATTAGAGAGCTCGCAGAACACGCCGCGCTGTTCACACCAACCCCCGCCACCCCACCCCCTCTCCCTGTCTTCACTTATCTTGTGCGAGCTTTATATCACGCCTCCAGCCAGCCGCCTGCCGGGGTGGGCCACCCGCCCAACGCCGGTGACAGGAGCCAGAAGAGTTGCCTACCCGGGGGTTCGCAGGCGGCCCCGCAGCGCGACTGACTGAGTCTCACCTTGAGCACGCTGATGCCGGCGACAGCTGCGTCCGACACAGAGTCCTTCTTCCCAATTGAGCGGGCGGCGATGGCGCGGTGGCTGAAGGAGGTCTTGAGGGCGTCCAGAAGGTTGACGACGATGTTGATGAACTGGAACAGCGGGTCAGTTTTAAAGGCGATGCGGGCATGTAAAAGATTGCTTCTTCAGGGGACAAGTAGTTAGAGACAGTTTTCATTAATAAACGGTTAACAAAATTTTGCAATGACTTTAAAAATGGATTTATCTGTGAATCTTAAAAATGTTATCCAAAACTAATCTTGACAGGGGCTGTTCGTTCCGCTACATAAAATACAAATGCGTTTGCTGCATGCAGATGGACAGGGTGAAAGGATGGGATTGCATACCCTGTTAAGCATGCTCAACAAGCAGGTGTATAGCTTAGCGGCGTGCGCGAAAAATGCAGTTTTTTTCCCCTTCTATCGTATCAATTTAATGAAATCAAACTGGTCGTAGACGATGAGGAGAAGGATCGCGTGCCACTTACCTCTCCGGCCTGCTTGGCCATGGTGGCAACCTGGTCGGGATCCTTAGACCCAAGCACGGTGGAAAGCACGGCCGCGATGATACCCTGCGTCGGTACACCACAAACCATCAGAACCAGCTGGGAGCACCGGGAGCACCGGGACCAGCGGCACCACCCGGGTGCAGGGCACCTTGGTGCCGGGGTGCCGAGCGCGGCCGGGCCAGGGCGGCGGTGGGCGGAGTCTCGAATGCGGAGCGTCAATTATAGTACCGATCGCTCTCAAAACTATGTGCTGCATGCGTTACAGGGAGCTGGTGCACTCTTTTTTCACCTAGTTTTTTTTTTACAGGAAACCATTATAACTACAACGAAAGCGATTGACATTTCTTTTGTGGTTGCTTATTGCTTTCTACAGAGCCATGCAGGGATGCAAATAAACGTAAACAGTAAACGCCGTGTGACCGCCTTTCGAAACTTCGCCCAGATCGCCCCCAATAAAAGTACACAAAAACATTTCAAATGACAAATCTAACTATTCTTTGAAAAGAAATCATACGAAATAAATGTAGTCTTAGATTAACGGGGGAACTTTTTACGTCGCGTCCGCTGAGCCGGGCGGCTCCCCACCCACGTGACTTCACAAGGAGGGCGTGAACGCGTAGTTTTTTGGAGCGTGTCTTTTGACATGGATAGCCGTGCGCGCGTGCGCCGTGTAGTGCGAGCATGAGAGCGTGCGCTGCTGCACACTAGCATGGACCCATATCACATCTAACGGACAACAAAAGGTTCTAATCAGTCTCATTAAAATGTATGGGCCCAGCTCCGACTACACGTCACTACTACTATAAAGCCAAACTTTGTCGTGAAGTGTAATTTTAAGTGCAACTTGCAAACACTCTTGTAGTAGCTTCGCGCCAAAATATTCATTTATGTACAGTCGTTTCTACTAACTACAAAAGCAGTGCCTCACGCACCCACCCACCAGTAGTTAGTCTTTCTATTTCACTTTCAGTATTTACATGGAAATGCAAAGGCTAGTGGGGAGTCCACAGTGCAGGTAGCAGGTACTGGCACCGGAAGCGTTAGTTTCTTTTTACGTGGAACGCACTATGCTCTTTTATAGGGTAACGTAACTTGAAAAAAAATTGAGGTGATAAAAATGTGCGTTAATTAGGTGTTAAGTGCCGCGATGCCGGTCGGAAGCGTGCTCCGGCCTGCAACTTCACACTGCACTCGCTCCGCGTGCAGTGCCGTCACTGACCTGCATGGGCGACGAGTTGTCCACCTTGTCGATGCCGTCACCAGCAGCGGCGCCACCGCCCAAGAAGTGCGAAAGGATCTTGAGCCCAACCTGCAGGACCTGGGCCCAGGGTGAGGCCGGGGCCATGTTCTGTCGAAAAGAAGGAGTGCTCAGCACAACTGCACGGTAACGGGTGAAATGTAATGATAAAAAGGTCTGCACTCGTCGCTGTGGTTACTGTTAATAACTACCACCACCCCAGAGACATGCGGAGGAGATAGAGAGGCTTGGTCCGAGGAAAATGAAGAAGATTGAGGTAATCAGTCTGGAGAGCAACAGAGGAACACAGTGAAGAAGATGGAGATTGAGAGAGAAAAAGAGAGCGAGATAGAAGCGTCAAAAGTCTTGGGTCGTCGAGAGGAAGAGGATGAGTTCTTTGTCAATACTTTTCGTCTGCCTCCTTGTTCTACGAAAATTTCAAATCGGTTCGGATGCATACCGTTCTACTACTTCAAAAACAACTACTTGGAACCGGTTCAGCGGCACCGAAACTAAAAATAATAATGCACAAAATACTCCCTCGCTCTCAACTGGGAATACAATACAGACCACGAATTCGATCATACCATACCCCTTTGACTAATCTTCAATACTTTCCCGAAAACAGACTCCCATGACAAACTCTGACGAGTAGAACAATTTCTAAGAGCTACAGATAGGCTTCTCCCGCAACCAGACACTCGCACTCAATTTGATCTCAAAAACTCTAGAAACGAAATAAAATCTCGTTCATTTCGACGCTACAGAGGGCCATGCATGCAGCCCCCCTCATCCTCGTCCCCCCTCTCTCTTTCTGAGCGAGACGAGACGAACAGCTAAACCGACCCGAGCCGAACCGACAGGCGCGAGCAGAGCTCTGGAGTGATCTGATTGGGTCTTACTGAGAGTGCATAGTCTGAAGAGTCGTGAGTTTTAGAGGGCGGTGGAGGTGGAGGTGTTGTGGTTGTGGTGGGAGTTGGACGTACATCGTCATCCAGACCCTCCGACTTGCTGGGGCCGGCCTGGGCGCCGCCGTTGAAGAGCATCTGCATGATCATGCTCAGCATGCTGCTCCATGAGAAGCCATCCTGCTAACAGACAGAGCACGCACGCAGTCAGGACAGCCGTCCTCAGCAGGGGTATTTTGATTAGTGATTGGGCCACCTCCCCTCTACTTACCGATATCTGGTTGGTTTGGATGTCATCCAAGTCGTTGTCGATGGGCACCTTCTTCATAGCGTTGGGCTTCTCGGCGTACTTGCGGGCCTCGGCCTGGGGCTGTGGCTGCTGCAGCTGCTGCTGCTGCTGGTGCTGGTACACGGGGTACTGCCGGTGCTGCAGCTGGTGCAGCGGCGGGTGCTGCGCTGCGTGCGGCAGCGCCAGGCCGGGCAGGACGGCGGAGCAGCCCATCAGGGCCAGCAGCGCCCACCCAACGACCTGCCTCTGCTTCATCCTGCGAACAGCGAACGGGACAAAGTGAGTATGGCTGGTCTAGAAACGGCCCTGCTTCAGCTTGCGTTCAGCTGCTTCCCTTCCCCAAGCCTAGCCGAGTCCGGCCCCTAGACGCAACCGGCCCGGCCCTGGCGACTAGGCGACACGTTGAGGTTACGACTGCTCCCGCACGGGACACAATCGCAGGAAGCACGCGCGTGCGCACTCCGCGTTGCAGCTCGCCGTCCGCGCGCAGCAGACATCGCGCTGCGCGTCCCGCGTTGCACCGCGGCTGCTTCCTCCTTGACAGCATTGGTCCTCCCAACCCTCGACACCCTTTTTAACCAGTCCTTTGACGGGAGCGGAGGAGAGCAGGGTTAAAACGAGTCGTGGGATTTCCAGGAGAGTTGAAACCCCAGTGGATGCCCTGGAAACAAGCAATTATTCCCAGGGCTCGTTTTTACCGTGCGGGAAGCAGGTGGAACAGATATCCTAGCGCTTAGTGAGCTACTCTCTGCTGGCTAGTGCCGACAGTCTTTTCAAAAGTTGAGGCATGTGGATGAGAACATGACGAATTGCAATCGCTTTCGGCGTGGTGAGGCTATGAAGGCTATTATCGCCGGGCGGTGCGACGACAGCTCAGCTGATTTCCCCGCGGACGCGCGCGCGTCTCCTCCGCCGAGCGAAAAGTTTACTGTAAATGTGAAAGTCAAGCAGCGCGCCGTGATGTCGCCGCCGTTTGGTGTGTCGCTGACGCTACGCTCCAGAGCCAGGGGCTGCGGGGGTAGTCGTATAGCTGTGTGTGCATGAGAGAGAGAGAGACAAAGAGTGAAAATAGTCTCCTTGAACCGAGGCTTCAACGGTATTTTTACCTTGAACAAATACAAGGACGGAAAATGTCGTGGAAGAAAAGCAAAGTTTTCCTTCGATTAAAACTGTCTCCTTGAAAACAATGGAAATGCATTCCTTGAACCAAGGTCAAGAATATCCTTTATTTTTTTAAAAAAGAATTTTTCTGGGCCAGGAGCAGCCACCAGACGCGCGTTGACGTCAGGCAGGCGAGTAACCCTACGCGGCTCGTCGGCATGAGAAAGTTCATGATCCCCCGTGTGCAACCAAGGCGCTCATCCCGTAAACTTTCGACAGCCTCTGCGGAAAACGTCGGTGTCGAGAACGTGCGATTGTGGATTGTGTGTGCAGCCCCAACTCCAGTCTTGTCCCCCCCATGCTCTCGGTCCGTGTCCTCCCCTGGGAGGCCGGTCACGAAACCGGACACTAAGTACTCCGGGCGCCTCGTAGACTCGCCGAAGCGCCGGCGAAAATGCATTGATTGTCTGGGAATGAAATTGAAAGGACTCCAGCCGGCCCTGACCTGTCGCGGAGACATTAGAGACAACCTACCTGCCGGGAGCCCGCCCCCGCCTCCTCCCCACCCTCCGGCCGGCGGCCAGACCCGACTTCACTTTCGTCCTCTATCGCCCCGCCCCCTCCCTAATCGACCTGGCCCCGGTGTTCCCGGCACTCCCCCGCCCCGCCTAGGGGGATGCAAGCCGACGAAAGCGAAACCCATCCGAGTAAAAATCCCGTATCTTTTTCCTCGGCAGCCCTCGAGACCTGGGAGGGGGGGGGGGGGAGGGGGCAGCGGAGTCTGGATACCTAACCTTCCCGACGAACCGTCTTCCTCCCTAGGCCCCGAGGTACCGTTAGGCGGGGGCAGGGCGGGCAGGCCACGCTCACTTACCGCCCTGGGAACGTGACTGCCTGGCGGTAGCCTGGCGGTGCCCTGGCGGTGCCGAGCCGGGCGGGCTCAAGGGCCTAGGGCGGCCTGACGCTGACCCGTATTTTCCCTTTCGCCGCCCTCATTGACGGGGCACGTCTGCCTCATCCACGTCGCGGCCTTACGCGGCCTCCTCGTCGGGGGTCTAGAGGTTAGGAGACGGCTACTGCTCGGGCCGGTGCGGCCGACACGCTATGCCCCGGTCCAAGCTCAGCACTGCAGCAGACATCATAGGTGCGGGAATCACGTCACCGGGCGCAACGGCGGGTCGACAGGAAGCCCAAGGCACTTGATGATGACGTGGTGCGCGGAGCGCCGCCCTGGCCTGCCGGCGCGACACGCCTCGACTCTTCAAACTTTCGCTTCATTTTCCCTCCAATTTGCCCCGCAATATGACTCGCCACCTCACCCCCCCTCCCTCCCCACAGGAGCACACACAAGCAGGCACCAATCGCCTGCTTCCGATCCGACCAGGCGGCCGCTCGTTAGCGTTAGCAAGCAACGCGCGCGACTCGCGGAGAAATCCGACGGATTTTCGTTCGCTCTCTTGCCTTTCATCGTGAAATATCATGGACTGGGTACATGACACGCACCTGCTGCACATGGCTGCGGACTCAGCCTCCCTCTGACCGCCCCGACTGGCGCTCCTAAGGCACTTCCTTCCGATACTATCGCGGCGGCGGCGGGCAAGGTGCGTCATCGGGGCCCCTGGTGGGCCCTGGGCCCCTGGTGGGCCCTGGGCCCCTGCAGCGTGCCGGCTGTAGCGGCCACTCCGGGCCGTGCACACCGCGCCTATACCGCGCCGCTGAAGTAGAAAGTGGACCAAAACCGAACCGAGTGAGTCAGTGACCGCTACCCCACTGCCCCCACCAAAATCCTCACCAAACGCTTCCTCTGTCTCTTTCTCGCTCCTCGAGCCGCGGCGGGCCCCGTGGGCCACAAGGAGCTCGTCGCCCCGCTCGCACCCGGTTTGTAACAGGTCGTTGACCAGCCGAACGGCCGCCGGGGCCCCGGGCACTAGGGCCCTAGCAGGTGGGCCAACCGAGTGGGACGCGCCGGCCCGGCCCGGCTGGGACCTTTCTCCGACAACAGGAAAGCTCCCGACCGCGCCCGACCTCTGTCCGTCCTTGCAGCAGCCATAGGGAGGGACGCCGCCGAGGGCCGCCTTCTCCCCCAGTCAGGGGTGGATTGGATGGTGACGTCGGGTTGCGGTGCTCCTCACTGATTGACGGCGTCGGTTTGGCGCGTCGCGGCGGCGGCGGGCCGAGCGCCGTGGGTGGCCCCGAGTCACGGTGACTGGGCGGCTCTCCCCACGACGCACGCGGCGGGGCCCGGCATCACCCACTCCACCACTCAGGTACGCAGGTGCGTACATGTGTGTGCCCCCCCCCCCTCTCCAAATCCGATCGGCCGACGACGCGCAGATTCGTCTTTTCATACAGCCGGGGTGGCGGGGCGTGGCGGCGCCCGCCGTTAATGGAGCGGGCCGACGGGGAGGAGGACACGCCGGGGTCAACGCCCCCGAGGCCTCCCGAGGCGCCGTGCAGCTGAGCGCACACCGGAGGCCTGAGGCGATTATTTACTAGGAGGAACCACAATGGATTGTGAGTCGTAGCCCGGGCGACATACCCACCAGGTGGCTGATTCACGCCGCGCACGTCGTAGTTATACCGTACCGCATGCACGCGTGCGGGCGGGTTGCCTACTCGCACGGGGCCTCAAGGAACCGTGGACAGCGAGCATAGGCAAACCGGACCGCACGCGTGCATGCGGTGCAGTATAACTACGACAGTGCGCGGCGCGAATCAACCATCTGGTATGGGACGACATCGAGCACCGTTGTTTTTGGTAGGAGGCCAATCCTGCCCCAATAATGCTCCATCCCCTGACCGTTACTCGTGGTTTGGGTTGGGCCGCTTTGCTCCGCTATGGGGAGCCATTATGTTGATGAGCGAATTATGTTATCGGCCTCATACGGCCGGCAGCACCCCAGCCGGGCCTGGCCGGGGCCGGGGCGGCCGGGTAGCGGTGGCGCTGTAGGCCGGAACGACTTTCGAATCCCCCGCGCGGCGCCCGCCCCGGTGCGCGCCGGTGCCGGTGGCCTCGGCCGAGCGCCCAAGTGGAGTGTTCAAATCCAAAAGCCCACGGCGGAGGTTCAACTTTCCAGAAGCGAGGTGGAACCTGGAACCCAGCGTGTGCAACTGAAGCGGCCGCCGCCCGGCCGCAGCACTGCGCCGCAAACTCTCTGCTAACGGGGAGCCCCTGGGGCAGGGGTGCTCCTCTCCCGCTCTGCTGACGCGGGCGTTCCGATCAGCTGACTTATTTCTTCCATTGATTCCCCCGCGGTGGCCGGAGCGGCGCCGTTGTCCAGCGGTGGACGCGCCGGCCGGCCAGCTGTTCCGTCCAGTTGGCTGCACGACGACGCACGGGCGTCGCGTCGCGGTCGCACGGGCACCGCAACAAGGAGCGGCCGGCGCCGCGCAGCGCCACGCCACGCCACGCCACACCACGCCACGCCACGCCACGCCACGCCACGCCACGCTACGCCGCGCAGCGCCACGCCGCAACACGTGAGCGGAGAAGGGCGTCGCCCCGGCCTGCAGAGCCTGCTGGGAGGTACTCGGGCAATAATTCATTTATTGCATTTATCGCGTTCCATAGATACATTCGGATTAAAACAAACGAAAAGTGAACGAACGGATGCTTGAATTATTATTATCAGAAAGGATGCGACGAAGCAATCTTATTGACCCGTTAGAAGAAGAAGAGAGCCTGAGGGGAGGGTAAGGTACCAGGTAGGCGCAACCTGTGCTGACGGAGCGGGACTGAGAGGACGAGAAGAGGAAGTGAAAAATAAAGAAAGGGGACGATTGACGGGGATAAAAGAAGTCGGTGAGTGAGCTCGGTTGGCGGCGTTGGCCGGCGCAGCGCGCAGCGTGGCGGCGCGATCCAAAGGGACTCGACTCGGCCTACTTCGCCTCCCCCGCAGCCTAGCCCGGTAGATAATGATAATAATAATAATGATACTGTTATAAAAAAAGTAACTCGACGAAGAAGAATTCAAAAGAAAATAAGAAAAAAATATGCCCTGACGTGGCCGAGATGGGTAGTATATAGTATACACGAGTAGTTGCGTGTCCTTAATGGTGAAACGGGTGGCGTCGTAAAGTGGGTTCAGGTAGGGCTGGGACGGGGACGAAAAGCGATCAAGCCTAACTGTCTCACTTTTATGTGATGTCGACGGGATTGAATTAGCCTCCACCTGGTTATGTCATTATCATCGTGATAACGTTGCAACGGGCACAACATCACTAGGGGGTGACGTTACGGTAAGCAGGGTGGGGTGTGGCAGCAGGGCGGTCGCTCCAACAGGTTTAACGGCGTTATTCTTGCCGGCCACGCTACGCCACTCCTTGCTTTCTTCTTCCCCCGGCCCAGGATGCCCCCCCCCC